AAAATTAATATTAAAAATCAAATTAGATGAACACCATTTCACTACTATTTTGTGCCCACATTCAAACCTGTGAATATATTAATCCTTTAAGAAAAACAAAGTCCAGCAACACATTTTTGAGAATTAACCTTCAACGGTCTCTTCAACTATTTAGAATTCAGGGAATTCCTGAAGAGGCCTGCACGAAAACATTCTTCACCCAGTGGAGGAAAGCTCTTACAAAGTACTTTTACTGCTAGTGAAGATCTAATGAACTACTAACACTTCCTCCACCACAGCACTTTCTACTTGCAGCTAGGCGATACCTTTGTTAAGTATTGCAATTTTGCATATTTAAATACATGCATAAGTAAAACCAGAAATGGCAGTGTTCTGTCTTTACAAATAAATGCCCTCTTTTTTGCAGAATTAAGGACAAAAGGTTTGTCCTGCAAAAAAGGCTGGTTTACTTAGACTGCTACGAAGACACATACCGCTAGAGTTCAAGTAACTGAGCCCTTGTTTAAATGTAGCTTTAGCAATTTGGAGTGCTTATACTAACACAGCATCCTCCCATCTGACAGGAATTTTAGTACTTCATTAAAAATACATTCTCCAGAGATCATGCCAATATTGTATGTCAGTCAGTTTGGACAGTCAAGCACTCAAACCGGTTATAACAAAAACACAAAATCACTGGCCACAATATTTCTTTTTTCTTTTACCCAGGCAAAATGCACAGCAGTAAGTCGTTGTGCATCGTTTGCTTTACCACAACATACTTAGTAGGGAAACAGTAATAAATTAAGATTATTCCTGTGCTCCAAAGTCTTACAGGATCAGCTAAGAAATCCATTGAGGGAAGGAAAACAGAACCAGGCAGAATCTCTCTTATCAGAAGAGCCAGAGACCTGGAAAAAAAAAAAAAATCCTAAGCAATACTAGATCAGCTAATTTTCTAAGTGAATTTCCAATGCCATTATATTTTACTGGGAAATATTTTAGTATTTAATAATAAGTGTGCTAGAATATTTTAAAGAACAATCAAAAACTCATAAGCAAAGGGATAAGAAGGAGGGATAAGGAGAACGACTTGGGAGTTTATTCTTTCGTTCTCCAAAATTACTGTACCACTCAGTATGCAGATACTTTAAAGAATAAATTTTAAATCATTTCTATACCTGCACTCTGTTGATTTTGGGGGTAAAATGTAAGGGAAAAGAAGTTCAGTAAGTTTTCTCAAGTAGTGAAGTTCATCTCTTCGACTTCTCAAGGCAACATGGAGTTCTGGTCCATATTCTTCTAAAGCAGCTTGCTGTAGAAATTCTGCATTTTTTACTGCAAGCAAAACAAAACAAAACAGTATCACCAGTTGTTTCAGCTTTTTCTTATTGTGAAATAAGGGGCGATTACTTTTCATTTGAGCGTAAAAGTTAATACTTTTAGTACATGAACAACTGCCAAAGGGAATCAAACTTCACAAAAGAACTTTGGCTTACATTTTTAAGTCTGGCAACGTAAAAATAAAACCTCATATTAAGATAGGTATTCCTTCACCAAACAATTGCCGTTTGCATGGTTTCCAGGACATCATCTTATTTATAATTACTGAACTACTCATCATCTTGATTCTTCTTAAAAAAATCCATTGCCCAAAGTCTGCCTCTACTTGCTTTTTTTCTTGACCTCTTTCAGTCTCCCATTTAGTGGGCTTCTATCTGTTGATTTGTCTACAACACAATTTGAAATCAATGTAAACAAACTTTTGTCCAATCATGTTGTACCCGTTTCCTGCTTAGAACACTTAGATGTGAAGGAGCATGTATGTTAAACAGCATAAATCGAACCAAAACCAGCATGGGGGTCTGCAAGTGCTGCCTCTTGTAAGTAGCCGTACAAAGTTGAAAGACTACTTGCTTTATCAGGTTAAAAGTGATACATATTATTTAGAATCACCAATCTTATATTCCTTCAAATCCCTTCAAAGGCAAGAACTGAGATGTAATAAACCACACGTAGCTGTACCAGCATTCGGGCAGAGCCTCATGCCAAGAACCACACTAGGCACAGGTCAGGTATGTAACACATATCCGGTACGGAGAAGGTTAAAGGTCGTTACCAGCACATTTAGTAGAGAAACCTCTTAGCTTGTCCTTCACGACCAAGAACCACAAGTGGTTATCAGCCAATACTGGGGATGCAGGAATGTATATTGCCTGGTAAGTCTGCCTAGTTGGTGTCACTAAAAGCAGAGAGGAGGAATGCACTCTCTGACAAGGTCAGGTAATGAATCGATGAGACGTAAGGGTAAGAAGAGCAGGAGAAAAGGACCACACCCTAAAGCACATATTTCAAAAAGAATATCGAAAACAAACAGAAAAGGCTAAGCTCAACTAACAACCAAAGCAAGGCCTGAAAGCTGCCTCTGAACCATGTACTGTGGTGGCTGGTTTAGCAATGTTTACTAGAAGGCACTAGTAAAAGTCATTTTCACCTGCTACTTCACATAACTACCCTCAGGGAACCAGTCTTGCCCTTCAAAACACTGAAGAAAATAGTCATATATTCAATGCCCTACAATTAAAGTTCTTTGCTGCTAAATAAAAGTGTTTCCAAATCCTTAGTTCAAAAGAAATATGAAATTTGGCATACGCACAGCTGCAAGACAATCAAGTGTCTTGAAACTGTTGTTGTTATTGTGCCATGAAAAACATCTAACAGGATCACATTATGTCTCATTACTCACGTTATTCATTACCCACTACTCACAGGACCAATGGCATATATCTAGGCAGGCAGATGTTTTGAGGGAAGGGAAGAAGTTTCATGACTCCAGTGAAAGTAAACATCTATGCTTAAAAGCTGAATGAAACCACATTTAGTCAATGCTTTTTTCACCAGCTATGTTCCAGAGTGCTGTAAAGATCACTATTTCCCAACAATTAGTATTCTGTCTTCCAAATATTCCTTCAATGGGAAGTTTTAATACAATTTTTATATTAGGCTTATAAAGATATTCTTATCTGGATAATAATCAAGTATCATAGAATGGTTTGGGTTGGAAGGGACCTTAAAGACCATCTAGTTCCAACCCCCCAGCCATGGGCAGGGACACCTTCCACTAGACCAGGTTGCTCAAAGCCTCATCCAGCCTGGCCTTGAACACTTCCAGGGATGGGGCATCCACAGCTTCTCTGGGCAACCTGTGCCAGTGCCTCACCACCCTCTCCGGGAAGAATTTCTTCCTGATATCCAATCTAAACCTCCCCACTTTCAATTTAAACCCGTTCCCCCTTGTCCTGTCACTACAGGCCCTTGTAAAAAGTCCCCCCCAGTTTCCTTGTAGCCCCTTCAGGTACTGGAAGGTGCTATAAGGTCTCCCCAGAGCCTTCTCTTCTCCAGGTTGAACAAACCCAACTACAACTCAAAGTCTCTCCAGGGCTTATAAACATCAACCTAACTTTTCAAATTCTGAACAACTCCACTAACAGCTCATGTTAGTGTGCAGATGTGAAATCATTCTAGCTATAAGAGTTACAGTTACAGTATAGTGCATGGATATGCAAATCCTTTAATTTATAGCTGCTCATCTTGAATACAGAGGAAAAACTTCAAGAAGCATTGCTAAACGATCGATTGCTCTGCATAGACAAACACCACATTCCTGTTTACCATACAGAGAAAAAAATTAAGTCTTTTCAATGAGGGGAAATGAAAATCAAACTGACAAATTATCTATACTGTAACTTCTCCCCTATTTGTCTTTGGAACCTCGAGAAGAAAAATTAAAAAGGATTGCCTTTTTTTTTTTTTTTAAAGAGAAGGCAGTGGGGATGAAAAGATTTAGCAAAAACAGTAACAAACACACAAGAAGAAACATTTATAGTTGCCCTTTGAAACCGACAACATATTAAGTCTTTACCTTTCTGCCTGGCCTTGGCTATCACTTCGATGTGTTTCATTGCTGCCTTCAGCATTTTCTTTGTTACAACAGTTGGAATGTCCACCTGAGGAACAGTTTTAAAATAGGAACAGAATTGAGAAGTGTTCTAGATATTTTTTCCCCAAAATTAATTACAGACAACAGCTATCAAATATATTAATTTGCTTATATGTGCCCATTCTAACCATAACATGAACCTTTAAGAAACGACCCATGAATTCTCTAGGTGAGCTGACAGTACGCTTATTCTCCTGAACAAACCATACATCATGTAGAACAAAATACCATAAACAGTACTGTTAATGCATTTGTCATCAACTTTTTCCCGTTACAATTCTTCCATTGCAATACTTACAAGAATACAACTTGATTTCCAAGTCACAGTATATGACACGATGTTCTACATGAAGATTTGACCAAAAGCAAGTTAATTATGCTTTGCTTCTAGTACTTTTGGACATGACTGTTAAGGTACACAGATCTAAATGCAAAGCAAAACCCCCTCTCTGTGTATATGCAGAAAAAACGTCCCAGCTCAGGTGACAGCAGAACCCATGTCTCTCTTGTAAACCCAAACTGCATGCATTATCTTAGGTGTTACCTAAAGAGCACCAATTAGAGGCAGTTATTCACCTGCCTTGACTGGCTCTGCCCATGTTAATACAGCCCAGGACACTGCTGACCACCTTTGCTGCCAGTAGACACCGCTGGCTCATACTCCACCTACTGACTACCACAGGGTCCTTTGTAGCAGAGCTTCTCCCCACAGCCAGTCAGTCCCCAGCCTGCAGAGTTTCAAGGGATTCTTCTGTATCAGCTCCAATAGTTTCCACTGAAACTTATCTAGAAACTGATTTACACTTTGCATGTCCTTTATTTTAAGCAAAAGACACCTCAGAGAGCATGCAGTTGCAAATGTTCAACATTTAAAGCTTCTGAACATGTTTGGGGTTTTTTTTCCCTAATGGAGTTTGTCCCTCCTAAATACGAAGTCAAATAAAGACCTGAAGTAATGAAACAGAAGCATGAAAGTCCTTCTTGCCAGACAAGGAAAGAGACAGCATAATTGCAAAGGCCAAAGCTGAGAGGAGAGTTGTTTTTTCTTT